CTATTTTGCTTTGTAGCATCATTTATCTTTTAGAACAATTAAAAGTACTGAAAATCAATTGTATTTCACCTTTATTTATTTACTTTCAGCACTATTTTTTGTGCAGAACTAAGCTTCTTTCTGATATCAGATTCTTTCATGTTAAAGGCAGAGTATCTGCTGGTAATGAATTCTGTTTTCATCTTATTTTGTTTTTGAAAGGCCTTTGTGCCAGGCTTAGGTTTCTAGTTCACAATTTTTTTTTCCAGCAAAGATTTCATTTGAGTTGCATGGTTTCTGACAGTCTGCTGTAATTCTCATTATACGTTATTTCCCCTTTTTCTCTGGCCACCTTTAGGATTTTTCTTTGCTATTTGTTTTCAATAGTTTGAATGTTGTCTACTTTTCCTCTTAAAGACTTGGTCATTTAAAATTTAAAATTCTGTTAGATAATTCCAGTGCATGCCTCATCCCTGAGTCTGGTTCTGCTCATTTTCCTGCCTCGATGGACTGTGTCATTTTGTCCCCTTTCTATATGCCTTATAATTTTTTAATTGAAATTGCAATTAAACAAAATAGTAGAGACTGGAGTAAATAATTACTATGTTTCAAAATAGGCTTATAGTTCTGTCTGCTAGGTCTGTAGTGTGGGGAATTGTGTTAATTTAGGCAGGAGCTGGGATGGACTTGAAGTTTATTGTCACAACAGTTTCCCTTAATGTACAAAGAACTTCAAATTTGTTTAGCAATATACAGTGTTTAGAGTGGAGACTAGTTTGCCATAGGGGTTTCCTCAGTATCTGTTCCAACCAGGGCTTTAATTCAAACCTTAGTGCTGTCTGAGGGTCTTTCACGTTCAATATTTACTGTAGTATTTACTTATAGTAGTTAGTTGTTGCTCAGTATCTATTGGCCTGTACACAGAAGGTTCTGTTGTTCTGAATAACTTTCAGGTCACTTTCTTTTCCTTTTGTTCTCTTCCAAGCACGTTAGGCCCTTGCTTTCATTTTTTAAAGCAGAAACTTAGATAAGATTATAATTTTCAATAGGAGTCTACTATTAGTTCAAAGGTAAAAAATGAATTACAAAGCAAAAATAATTCCTAAGCTCTATTAAGAATTTAGGAGACTCAAAACCCAAACTATACCTTTTGCATCTACCTCCACCTTTCTAGACACAAATTTATCCATTGGAATCAAAGAGAATTCAAGAATCTCTTTACCTTGAACTCTAAACAAAGCTGACTGTCAGGGACCCAGTGAGAAAAGAAAGTTGAGTCATGAACATCAATAGCCCAATCCACTCTCTGATAAATCTTATCCTAGTGTTTACAAGTCTCCACTTCAGCCAGAAGTGACTGGGGAATCAGGCCTACATTGCTTTCTATGGTTGTAAGGACCTCCATTTCCAATAAACCAGAACCATCTGTCTAAATGAGAACAGACAGAAACAACTCTGAAAGAATAAGCAGTAATTCACACATATGGAGCAATTTAAGTTCATACTGAGAACCAAGCAAGATTACCTCCAAAGAAGTAATAAATCCTGTGGATAAATGAGGCATTTTAACCATGCATCTATTTATACTATGAAATGGAATGCTTTTTGTTCTAAAATATCTGCATTTGAGTCATTCCAATTCTCCCATGTTCTCTGTAAGAAAAAGGGGCATACACTTGCTTTAAAATTACATCACTAAAAGGACCTTGGTGGTAAAAGAGTTCTAGTCAATTCAGAAAGGGAAATGAGCTTTCAAATTCTAAATTCCTCTTTTAATTGTGGTGATCGAATCTCGGTCATGCAAATCTGTTATACCAAGTTTGAAGAAAAATTGATCAGGTGGACCAGTGTCCATATTCTATTGAGGTACAAATCCATTAAAGTTCAGGAAATCAACCATATCACTATCTAAACAAACATGTTTACTTACCTAATAAAAAGGTTAATATACCTTTTCAACATAACAGAAAACATCAGACAAGTGGTGCTAGAACTGATGAAGTGTCAAAGTCTGGCATGTTTGAATACACTGCTCACAGTCTTCCTGTTTCATTTCTTATCCTCATGGGAAACATGTAGTCAGTCAACAAAAAAATAGGGACTTGGGTATAGAATGATGAAGCTCAGTTTGTGTGATCGGGAGAGTTTCACACATTTTGGAATGCTCCTGGGAGTTTGAGAGGAGAGGTAAGTAATTCTTCAGAGTCCCAGCCTGCCCAAGGCCTCACAGAGATCTTAAGTGATGCTGAGGACAAAGTAGAAGGACCTCTAAGATAGGATGCAGCTCTAGTGATGGCTTAGAAACTGCCCTAGCAGCAGGCCATGATTATTGTGGAGCTTCCCCAGTTTAGTGACACACTGCTTTCTGTCCCTGCTTCTCCTACTTCTGCTGTCAACATCTAATCTCTCCTCTCTTCCTCTGCTTCCTGCCTTCCTGTCTTTCAGCTTCTGGCAGTACCTGAAGTAGTTAAAACTGCAGCTCTGGAGCTCGGGATTTAAGGCCTGCCTCTGCCATTTATGACCTGTGCCACCTTTGCTAGTGTATTTTGGCATCCTGTGCCTCATTTTCCTCCTCTGAAAATGGAAAGCACCTCATAGTATAGGTCTGAGGGTTAAATGGGTTAAAGCATAGAAGGCATTCAGAAGAGGGCCCGGCATGTAGTAAGTCCTCAGAAAATGTTAGTTATTGCTATCCTAGCTGTAGGTCTCTCCACATTCACCCCACCAATGCTTTTTTTTTTGTTCATATGCATACATCTTGTTCAAATTCCAGTAATGAGGATATCTAGTGGTAGGCATTGCCAACAAAAGGAAGCACCCCAGTTGGCAAGGTGCTCATGCTAACCTTCAGATAGGTTTCCACCACCAGGGTTTATTGCCTTTGAAATGTGTCCATCTCTGTTTCAGAGTGGCAAGGTAACAAGTGACTTAAGCCTGGAATTTTCCACTAGCTTTTCCAAAGAGGGCTGTGACAGGGCAGTCCCTGTGAACGGCATACATTTCCCCATTACATGATTGAAAATTGCAGTGTGCCCCTGACCCTCTATGACTAGTAAATCTGGAGCCATAGTGACCTATCTGTCCAAAACATTGGCCTTTTTACCTTCTATGGATAAAGAGGATGTTGAGTGGCACCAGCCTGTGCCCTTCGTCGTTATTTCATAGGTCCTATGCCAAGTTCTCACTGCTGAAGTCTTGAGTCATTCTTGGGCTGCATCTTTTCTAGTCTATATAGTCAAAACCCTGCAGGGTCAAGGACCCTCTCCCTTTGCTCAAATCTCTTGGAAATGAGACTTCCTACCAAGTAGTGTAGCCTCCTTGGTGTTGGCATCTTTTTGTTTGGTTTCTGAAACAGTGGCCATTTCCCTACCTTGTGGCTGCGTCTCCAGTGCACGTTCCTTGAATTTGCCGGATGCTTACAGTCTGCCTGCCCATTTTGCCTGGGCTATTTTAGATCATAGCCAGCACCACTCTTATCCTACTCCTTATTCAAAGAACTGCTGATCTCCTGGATGATTTTTTATTTTGTAAACACATAGCTCTATAATCCCACCTGTAACTAAGCTCCCATGTTTAGACCTTTATTTAGACTCCCGAGTTTAGGGGGAAGGAAAATACTTAATCAAAGATGATGATGAAATGAACATTATTACCTGCAAGGAGAGCACTCTGCAGAAGATCAAACATCCTGCTCACACCAGGCTTTCCAGCCACTTGAATTAAAATAGTTTTAAAAAAAGCCTTTATTTTTTAAAGCATAGTTGACAATAGATACATGAACCACAGAACCAACCCGAACTTGGTTATATCATATATGCTAGAGCATGCTGAACAGTGAAAAGTGCTCTGGATCAGAGATCAAAACAACTGGAATCCTGAACTCAGCCATGTTTCAAACCTCAGTAGATGACCTGGGCAAATTATTTAAACTCTCTTCTCTGCTCCCAGTTTTTTACACCAAGCATAACTAGTATGCCTATCTTATAAAAAATAGATTAAAAAGTGCCGGATTCACATTGAGTACAAATATCTAAATAACTAAAATAAAATCTATAAATGTTTGACTCAAAATAGGCTGTGAACTTGGGTTCCTGCTGGCATCTGTCTCCTAAGGAGAAGCCAAAGCAAACCCACTGCAAAGATTTTAATTTTATTATAGGTTCCTTGGAGCAAAGTTGAGCAATCATAGACCCAGATACATAAGGTTAAAATAGCTTTTACAATCATCCTTGTGTAAAGACATAAAGAAGTATTGTTGAAGTTAGTTTGGCAGAACATGAGCAAGGATGTTGGAAGGATTGTCAAAGTTGGAGAGATTCTTATGAAACAGGTCTTGATTTTTGCTTTTCAATGAAAGGACTGAAAGGATTGATGGACATGTTTAAATATGTGTTATGCAAGGTAGCATAAATGAGACCCATGGAGCTACAAGGCTTCTTGCAGACCCTGGTGCATGTGTCCTAGGCACTTGCTTTTTCTGGCACCTTTTTAATCGGATCAACAATACAAATCTCAGATGGATTAAAATCTGTGAATGTAAACTGTTCTCAGTCTAAGATGTCTTGCCTTTATTGCATTTGAGGTTCTTTCAGTTTTGATTCAGCAAATTTTATTGACTATGTACTACATGCAAGAAAATACGCAAGGTGGTCTTCATAACAAGGCAATGGGGTCTTCATAACAAGGTTCACATGGAAAATAAGAAGTTCAACTCTCCATGGGTGACTGTTAAAATCTATAAATGTTTGACTCAAAATAGGCTGTGAAGTCTCAATCATTTGAACTTCTGGCTACATTCTCTTTTGTCTTCTCAGGTATTTATCATGCCCTTACTAGAATTAGACTCCTAAAGTCTTAGAACATTGAAATCATTTCACAACACTGCCTGTGTTGAATTGAACTGATGATTAATCTTTGTGATCCAAGCCCCTCCTTAAGGTGGAGTTGGCATGCCTGGCATTTTGAAAATGAGTTACACAGAAGGTTATAAGTCCAAGTAAAAAGTATCCAGACTGGTATAATTTATGCTTGTGATTTATTTTGTTACAGAAAAGAGATACCTCAGTAACACACTGGGAACTTCAGAAGAAAACCTCCACACCCAGCTCACAGGAGTTCTTAGGGATGGGATGGAAGAAGTCTTTACAACTAAAGGTAAGAAAACCTTTTCAAAGTGGGGCAGGTGAGGGAGAGTGGTAACAACCATTCTTGAGTGCAGAAACTTCTAAAGTCTACGTGTAAACTGAGAGTCCAAGATAAGAGGTGCTTCTAGGAGACAGTAAATTTTCAAGGATGGAATATTTTAGAAAGGGATCATTAAGCAATCTGATTTAACTTTATTTATTTATTTTTATGACTCCAAGGATCAAACCCAGGGCCATTTGTATGCCAGATAGGCACTCAACTACTGAGTGATGACCTCAGCCCAAGCAATCTGATTTTATTTATTTATTTAGAATTTTTCCTTTGCCTCTTTTATTTACTCATGTAGTTATTTTTTAATTTGTTCTAATTAGCTAAACATAATAGAAAAATGCATTTTCATTCATTGTACACAAATGAAGCACAGCTTTTCATTTCTCTGGTTGTATAACATAGAGTTGCACCACATATGCAGTCCTAGGGTAATGACATTTCATTCCACCAGCTTTCCTATCCCCATTTTCCCTCACCTCACCTCCCTCCCCTTTTCCCAATCAAAGTTCCTCCATTCTCTCAATGCCCACCCCATTATGGGTCAGCATCCACTTATCAGAGAGAACATTGGGACTTTGGTTTTGGGGGACTGGCTTACTTTGCCAAGCAACCTGATTTCAAATGACAAGTTGAAATCGCAAGTCAAAGACAAATCGTGTGAATTGAAGAAAAATGCTGATAAAGCCTGAAACAATTTTAAAAGGAAGTAATAGATACGAGTTTTAAAATAATTATTTTAAAGGTTGATGGGTGCCAGAAAGTCTCAGAGTAAGACAAGAAAACAAATTTACAGATAGGGATTGGGGAAGCTGAATGATCAATTTACGTAAGAAGATCAGTGAGATAATATGAATCTCAGGGTCAATATTTACTCAAGTTCTTCCGTCTTCTCATGATGTTTAAGGAAGAGAATAGGAGGCATGTGAGAAGACCCAGAAGCTGGAGACTTCACCTTAACCATGAGCATCCCTGCACCCTTTAGGTGCTTAGCTGCTCAGTTCCTTAGAGTCCATGGTGGGCTGCGTGGAATAACTTTCCTGGGCAAAGTACAAGCTGATCACATGAACAGCTGCTAGGGGACAGCAAGGGCAGCTGGGAGGGCCAAGGTTTACTTCTGGAAGGAACTCATCTGAGGAGGCACAAGCACTTTGGGTGTTTCCATGCTTTTCTTTCTGTTTTGTTGCATTGTGTTTGTTTTGTTGTCTCTTGTAGGGTCCTGATCATGAAAACAACTGTGACCAATCGGAAGTCACTGTGGCTACGGCTGCTTATATTAGCCTTCTTGATCACTTTTACAGTTCTCCAGAAGTCCACAAAGGTAGGAATTGCTTGCTTTCTGTGTTTGCAAAAGTATATTTTTATTTGATACCTCACCTGTTCTAGGAAAGTCCAGACTTCAAGACCTATAAAACGTAGTAGGGGAGTTTCAAAGGCGTGCACACTTTTTAAGAAGCAGAGTGACTGAAAAGCATTAAGCAGCATCTGAGAGGGTAACACTGTGCTTATTCATAGACCTTGTTCCTTTGTTGATTATTTATTCATCACAACTATCTCTTCACAACATTTAACCTGTATTTTCACCTTCTTTAAGAGAACATCTGAAGAATAAAATGTTTATTTTCATTTAGTAAAATGTATCTGCCTTTTTACTTTGAAGAGAAATATTTCCCCTCTCCAATATCAGACTGTTTGTCTAAACATTCTATTGAAACTTAAATGCTGCTTTTGAAGATCTAAAATCAGCATATCATAGTGATGTGGCCGCCTCAATGTTTATAGCTGCATGCTTCACAATAGCCAAATTGCAGAATCAACTCACATGTTCATCAATAGATGAATGGATTAAGAAAATGGAGTTTTACTCAGCCATAAATAAGAATGAAATAATGGTATTTACCATTGTGTAGTATTGGCACAGGAAATTGGCAGTAAATGATGGAAATAGAGAAAAATCATGTGAAGTGAAACAGGCCAGACTTAGAAAATCAAGGGTGGAATGTTTTTTCTCATATGTGGAACCTAGAGCAAAGCAAAGTAAGAAAAGCTGTGGGGAAGGAGATGGGATATTAGAAAGACACAGGGAAAATCAGTGGAATAGAAGAAGGAGGTCAAGAGTGAGGAAGGAAGGGAAGAAGGAAGATAAAGAGAATGAATTTAATAAAATCATGTTATATTCACATATAAAGTACCAAAGGGAATTTCACTTTTATATATATATGAAAGGAAAAAATTAGTAGATTAGAGGAGGGCGTATGGGGGCAGGGGGAAGGAGGTCTTGGAATTGAAATCAAATTCCTTGCATGTGTGATTTGTCCAAGTGAACCCAACTACTATGTATAATTATGATGCTCCAATAAAAAATGTTGCTTTTGTTATTTAACCTTTCAATGCATGTGCTTTATTTTGTTTTTATTTCCTTCTGTTATTCTTTTATTTCCACATAGATAGCAACTTCCTTTTATTTAATGTAGTCCTTTCTTTCTAGGGCATGCCACCTCATATCTCAAGGGTGGTCTACCAAGTGAAGGTCCCTTTGGGGCTCTTGTTCTGTTCCATTGACCACTTTGTCTTCCTTGTGCCAACACTACATTGTTATTGCTAATAGAGCTTCAAAATTAGTCTTGAAAGCTTGCAGGTCGCATTACCATTGTTTGTTTCACTTCAGAAGATTTTAGCTCTTTACTCTCTCTTGCACTTTTTAGAGTCAGCCTATTCAATCTGAAGAAAAATTCGATTTGAATTTTATAAACATGACTTCACCTTAAGTAAGTCAAATTGGAAACTGATGTTTATATTTTTCTATTGAGCAACATCAAATATCTACTTATTTAGGTCTTTCTTCAAGTCTATCAGTAAATCTTACAGTTTTGCCTACAGATCTTCCACATTTTCTGTTAGATTTATTCCTAGGTATTTTGTAATTATATGTTGCTATAATATTTTGTTTGTATATGCTGTTCTTTTTAAAACGAGAGTTTCTAATTGCTTAGTCATGGTGTAGAGGAGCACAATTGATTTTTACATATTGAACAATAAAATTTTAACTTTCCAGTATCTCTACTTGATTCATTAATGCCACCACCATCTCTTGGAGAATGGAAAGTATATTTATACTATAGCTTCCATCTTTTGTAGAACCTTATCTGTGTTTGGAACTATGATTTTTCTTTCTTGATTTAATCTCATCTGTCTTTAATTTTTCTGGAGATTCCCCACTAGTTCTGGTTCAATTAAGGTATCTCTGTTTCCCAGAATGAAATTTGTGAAGTTCTCTTCTGTCCTAAGATTTTTCTGGCAAGAAATTGAAACTTCAGTATTTGCTTAGTCCTTCATCTTAAATCAGACTTTTCTTGTTTTCTTTCTACAAAATTATGAGCACAGAAAATAATTCTACCATTCTAAAAATCAATTCTTATTTTTATTTAAAGTTGCAATAATATATGCATACCTGATAATGTGGTGTGATGTTTCAAATACACTATTATGAAAACATTGTTAAGATCCTCTGGGTCCTTACTCCTTTTATCATATAGTTCATGTAGCAACTACTGACAGCAATTTTTACATTTCTAATTATGATTGTGGATTTTCCCTTTAATTTGTCAAAATTTGCTTCATTTATAAGTACATGTGTGTAGAAGTGTATACACATGTATGATTGCTATGGTTTCTGACAAATTGATCCTTCTAACACGATGAAATGGCCATCTTTATTTCTAAAGATACGCTTTGTCCCTTCTATAGTCTATCACTGTCTGTAAGGAATATGGAATATTATTTACCCTAGAGGTAACTTTATACTTGAGTGGTCTTCCTCACGGACAGCAAATGATTAGCTCTTGATTTTTTTGTTTCTGCTTTTTAGTGAGGCAGGCAGTCCACCTACATTCAATGGAATTATTAAAATGGAAGATTTAGATTGATCACTTTGCTCTTTCTTTTCTGTTCTGTCCTTCTATTTTTTTTTTTTTTGTTTCTCTATTTTCCTTTTCCTGCTTATTTTGAGTTTTACTGATTTTTTTTATATGTCCTTTTAGTTTCTATTTCATTAGTTTCTTTAGGGATCATATCACACATTCTTAACTTTTACAAATATTAATATGTCACTTCATGGAATCTGTAATAACCTTTCAACCACTTAGTTCTCTTTATATCCGATCCTATTCTTTGGGCTATAGTTGTTATATTATTATAAATGTACAGTCTTTAATTTACTAAATAAATATAGGTACTTTAAAGAAATATAAACAGTCTTTTATATTTATCTATATATTTCCTGCTTCTGATGCTGAGGTTCTGAGTTTCCTACAGCCTAAAGAACTTCAGTCAGCACTTAGAATGCAAGTCCTATGCTGCCCATTCTTCCAGGTATCGACTGCCCTCCAATTCCTACCTGCTTGTGCTCATTCTCCACTGCTTTTATAGAGTTGTTTTTTAAAATATATGTTTGTTCAGAGTTTATAATTAGTAGTTGCAGGAGAGTTGGTCCAGTACAAACTACTCTGCCTTAATTGGAAATCCTGATAAATGATTAATAGTAATGATTTATCCTAAATATTTTATTATTTGACATATTAAGATATTTTTAACAAAAATATTTAGTTATAAAATAATAGAAACAGTTATAATGAATACTTAGCATGTGACATAATCATTCCTAATGCTTCATGTTATCCCATCAATCCTCACAATAACTATATAAAGTGTTTATTTTGTATTATGTGATACTCAGATGATATAACTGATTCAAGGGAGGTTAAGAACTTGACCAAAACTACATAGCTAGACAGTGAAGAAGCTAAGCTTCCATCAGAGGAAAATGCCTCTAAAAAGGAGCTACCTACTGTGGTGAGCATACAGTAAAAATAGAATTCTCATGTACTTCTCGTCTGGATGTAAAAATGGAACAATTTTATTTTTAACAATTTCACAGTATGTGTCAAATCCTTTAACAATGTTCACCACATTTTACTAATTATTCTATTTCTGAGATTCTTGGTAAATTTCTTGAGTTGCAAAAAATGACTTGTAAGAAGAGTCATTCTTTATAGAATTAAACATGATAAAAAAACTGAAAGCAACAAATACCCAAAAATATAAGAATGAGTAAAATATTAAGCTATATCTGTAGGCTAAAATAATATAGGACTTTGACATAAGGTTGAGAGATTTTGATGTCACTGATTAAAATTCAAAATTTAATGATGAATATTTATTTACTATCATGCAAAGTGGTATAAAAGGACTGAAAGAAATTCACCAAAATTTTAACAGTAGTTATAAATGGGTTGGTATAATTATTGGTTCACTTCATTTCTTATACACTTTCAGCATTCTTTTAATTCTTAATAATATATTGATATTATCTTAGGATTAGAAAATAAACATTCTATAAATCTGTTTTTCTGTATCGTGTTAAAAAAATCAATCTGAATACTAACTAAAAATAACATAGAATGTTTAATCAAAGTAAAAAAGATTAAATAGAAATAATGATATTTTTACATAAAAGCTCCATGCATTTAAACATTTTATTTCTTATTTTTAAATGTAATTGAAAAATGAAAATTATATATATGCATTATGCATGAAATATTTTGAAATATGTGTACATTGGGGAATGATTTAATCAAAATAATTAACATTAGCATTACCTCATTATTATTATTATTTGGTGGTGGTGACAATATTTCAAATCTACTCTCTAAGCAATTTTTTTCTGGGTTTTGTTTTGTTGGGGTATTTTGTGGGGGAGGGTATTGGTGGTGCTAGGGAACAAACCCAGAGACTCACACACGGTAGGCAAGCACTCCACACCTGAGTTACATCTCCAGCCTCAGCAATTTTCAAGAATACAAATGCATTGTTATTAACTGTTGTCACTAGGTTAGACAATATATTTCTTGAACATATTTCTCCTAAGTGAAAATTAGTGACCAACATATTTTGCACTCATATCTACAAATCATTCTCCAGACCAATGTCAAGGAGCTTTTATCCAATGTCTTCTTTTAGTAATTTTTCAGTTTCAGGTGTTACATTTAAATTTTAATTCATTTTGGGTTGATTTCTTTATAAAGTATGATGTAAGGGTATAATTACATTGTTCCACATGTGGACATCCAGTTGTCACAAAGATATTTTTAAAGAAATTTTTCTTTTTCTATTGTGTGTTCTCGATACCTTTTTAAAAAAAATCAAAGGACTGGAATACATGTATTTATTTCTGGGCTTTCTGCTGTGTTCTGTTGGTCTATCAGTCTGTTTTATGACAGTACCATACTGTTTTAATTACTAGACCTTTGTAGTATATTTTAAAATCAAGTATTGTGACCTAATTTTGTTCTTTTTGTTAAAGAGAGTCTTGGTTATTTAGGCTCTTGTAAGTTCATGTAAATTTTGGGATTAATTTTTCTATTTTTATGAAAAATGTCATTTGTATTTTGATAGAATTTGTATTGAATCTGCAGATTGCTTTGGATAGTATGGATGTTATAACACTATTAATTCTTCCAATTCATGAACATGGAATATCTTTCCATTTATTTGTATCTTCTTCAGTTTTTTCATCAATGATTTGTAGCTCTCAGTGTACAGATCTTTCACCTCCTTGGTTAAATTTACTACTAAATATTTTATTTTATCTAATTTTATTTTTGGCAGTTATTGTAAATGAAATTATCTCTTGATTTTTTTCAGATAATTTGTTGTTAGTGTACAAAAATACTAATGATTTCTGTCTGTTGATTTTATATCCTATAACTTCACTAAACTTGTTTATTCATTCTAACAGGTTTTTGGCAGAATCTTTAGGAGTTTCTAATTAAAAGATCATGTCATTTGCAAACAGGAACAATTTAACTTTATCCTTTTCAATTTGGATGGCTTGTATATCTTTCTCTTGCCTAATTGTTCTGATTAGTACCATGTTAACCAAAAGTTGTAAAAGTTTTCCTTGATATTAGAGGAAAACTTGCAATTATTCACTATAGAGTGGAGTAGCTGTAGACTTGTCATATGCAGCCTTTATTGTGTTGAGGTACATTTCTTCTATACCTAACTTGTTGAGTGTTTTATCTTGAAAAGATGTTAAATCCCAGAAACTAAGGAGGTGGATATAGAAGGATTGAAAGCGGGAGGCCAGCCTCAACTACCCTATCTAAAAGTAAAAAAGGAATGGGAATATAGCACCTCTGGGTTCAGTCTCCAACACACACACAAAGATGTTACATGATTTTTCTGCATCTATGAAGATTGTCATATGGTTTTTGCCTTTCCTTGTGTTAATGTGTTGTATCATTGTATCACACTTATAGATTTGCCTGTTGAATCATCCTTGAACCCCTGGAAGTGATCTAACTGGATTGTAATGAATGATCCTTTAAAGTGCAGGTGAATTCATTTTGCTAGGATATGTTAAGGACATTTGCATTTATGTTCATTAGGAATATTGGCCTGTAATTTTCTTTATTCTAGTGTTCTTGTCGGGTTTTGTTTCAGTGTAAGTGTGGCCTCGTGAAATATCTAGAAGCATTCTCTCCTCTTCAATTTTATTTTTGGAATACCTTGAGACAGATTGGTATTAGTTCTTCTTTAGAAGGATTTAGCAGTGAAGACTTTAGACCCTGGGCTTTTCTTTGATGTGAGACTTTTTAGTAGTGAGTCAATCTTCTTAGTCATTCATCTCTTAGTGCATTCATATCTTCTATTTCTTCATGATTCAGTCTTGGTAGGTGTTATGTGTGTAGGAACTTATCCATCTCTTCTAGGTTATCTAGTTTGCTGGCATGTACCTATTAAGAGTGGTCTTTTGTGATCTTTGTATTTCTGTGCTAACAGTTGTATACTTTTTCATTTCTGAATTATTTATTTATTTATATATTTTCTTTCATTTTTCTTAGTCTGCCTAATATTTTGTTTGTTTGTATTTTTTTTTAAAAAAATCACTTAGTTTTAGTGATCACTTCTATTGACTTTCTATTCTCTATTTCATTTACCTGCTCTGATCTTTATTATGTCCTTCTTTTGATAATTTTGGCTTAGTCTGTTCTTGTTTTTCCAGGTCCTTGAAGTATAGCATTAGGTTGGTTATTTGATGTATTTATTGCTGTAAAATTCCTAATTAGAATTATTTTTGCTGTATTCCTTGATTTTGGTATACTATGGGTACATAGTAATTTGTCTGAAAATGTGTTTTTAGTTTTGTGTGTGTGTGTGTGTGTGTGTGTTTGTGTGTGTTGCTAGGGATTGAACCTTGTGCTTCATACATGCTAACCAGATGCTCTAACACTGAGCTACTTCTCTTACTTTCCTTTCTAATTTCTTCTTTGACCTATTGGTGGTTTGTATTTAATTTTTCTGTATTTGTGAATTTTCTGAAATTCCTTCTGTTATTGATTTCTAGTTTAATAACATTTGAAAAGATACTTGATATGATTTTAATGTTAAGATGTGTTATGTGGCCGAACATGATCTAGCATGTAGAATATCCTGAGTACACCTAAGAGGAGTATATATTCTGCTGCTTTGGGTGGAATATTCCATATATGTTTATTAAGTCCATCTTAAAGTGCAGGGTTTTGATTTTTGGTTTGTGGTGCTCAGGGTGGGACCCAGGGCCTCAAACATATTAGGCAAGCACTCTGCCACTACCACCACTGAGTTACATCCCCAGCCCAGCTAAAGTGTACTTTAATTATGATGTCTCCTTATTGATTTTCTGTCTGGATGATGTATCCATAGCTGAAAATGGGGGTATTAAAGTGTTCCTTACTATAATTGTATTGCAGTTTATTTCTCTTTCTCAAATCTATTGATACCTTCTTTATATATTGAAGAGCTTCAATGTAAGATGGAGATAGATAAATAGATTATATATATATATATATATATATATATATATATATAATCATATCATCTTAATGAATTGACTCGTTTATCATTATATAATGACCTTTCTTTACAATTCACAATTTTTAACTTAAGTCTATTTCATTTGATTTAACTATAGCTACTACTGCTCTCTTTGTTTACTTGTGCAAGGAATGTATTTTACCATTCCTTGACTTTCAATCTGAGTGTGTTCTTCCAAGTGAAGTGTCTTGCGGGCAGCATATAGTTATGATGTTACGATGGTATCTCCTTTGGAGAATTTATTACATTATGATAGGTAATTATTGATAAGTAAAAACTTACTACTGCCATTTTGCTGTTTTCCTGTTGTTTTGTAGAGTGTTTATTCCCTTCCTCTATGCTTGCTTTCTTCCTTTGTGAGTAGTGATTTTCTCTGGTGGTATGCTTTGATTGCTTACTTTTTACATTTTATGTATTTACTAGAAATGTATTCTTTATGGTTACCATAAGACATACAAAAAAATCTAATATTTATAATACCCTCTTTTAAGCTGATAATAGCTTACGTTTCACCACATGAAAAAGTTTCTTTTTACACCACTCATATTTTAAATTTCTGATATCACAATACATTCTTTTATATTCTGCATCCTTCAACAAACTAGTTTAGCCATTATTATTTTAAATCTTTTGCTGTTTACCTTCATAATGAAGAAATGTGATTTCCTCCTCATCATTATAGTATCCTAGGATTCTGATTCTGAGTTTATACTTATCCAAATGTACCTTACAAATGAGTCTTATGCTTTTTCATGATTTATGTTATTAATGGCATTTTTTTCCTTTTATCTCAAAGAACTACCACTATCATTTCATGTAAGACAGATCTGATAGTGATGAACAGATTAGATATCTTTGAGATCAAATATTTTTTTTACTAAATTTTAGTTTTTATATAAAAATAATAAAACAAAAGCATTCATTCATTACAGTTTAAAACATTTTCTTATTTGGTCTTCATAGTTGACCAGCAAGGTAGATTACACAACTATTTTATAACAACTTCTTTCTTTTACAAGAAAGAAGATACTAGGGCTCATTTGGGTTGAATGGTTCTTCCAGAATTGATGAGCCAATGAACACTAACACAGTATCAAAAGTGTTTTGTCTATGACACACATGTGAACACAAAATCTCAGTGTCATTTAATTTTAGTACTTCTCATTATTTCATAAAAGATAAAAGTGATATTAAAAAAGGAAGATTTTTGATGTTTTCTATCCTCTCTCTTGTCATTTGAGGTATGGACTGCTCTCAAGTTGCCTATCTCCCTCCATCACTGGAACATGATCACAGAGTCCTCAAGCCCTGGAACACCTCTGAATCCAGCAGCTTCACCAACAGAGACTGAGCTAAGAATAAGTAAGATCCTGGAGAAACTAGACCAAATGATCCCACCCAGACCCTTCACCCATGTGAACAGCACCACCAGTGCTAAACACAGCACAGTCACCATCCTCAACCCTAGAGACACATACTGCAGGGGGGACCAGCTGGATATTCTGCTGGAGGCCAGGGACCACCTGGGACACAGGAAGGAATATGGAGGGGACTTCCTCAGGGCCAGGATGTCCTCCCCAGCCCTGAAGGCAGGCGCCTCAGGAAAGGTGACAGACTTCAACAATGGCACCTACCTTGTCAGCTTCACTCTGTTCTGGGAGGGCCAGGTCTCCCTGTCTCTCCTGCTCATTCACCCCAGTGAAGGGGTGTCGGCTCTCTGGAGGGCAAGGAACCAAGGCTATGACAGGGTGATCTTCACGGGCCAGTTCATCAATGGGTCCACACAGGTCGATACTGATTGTGCCCTGATTTTAAACTCAAGCACTGAACTATGCCAGTACCTGGATGCTCAAGACCAAGAAGCCTTCTACTGCATGAGGCCTCAGCATGTTCCCTGTGCAGCACTCACCCACATGCATTCCAAGAACAAGGAAGTTTCCTATCTTAGCAAACAAGAAAGGACCATCTTTGTAAGGTAAATAATTACAAAGAGATACCAGGGCAATATGTTGATTTTTCCCATATATGGTCCAAAGGAACGTCCTATAAGCAAATCAACTTATGTACTGTTTAAAAAGATCCATTTGGGGGAGGATTTGTCAATTAATTTGGGGGACAGGGCTCATTGTCCAAAAGTCCTCAAGTTTTTTTAATCCTTGTCAATGAAATGAAAAAATACAGACACAATGAAAACCAAGAAAAAATGAGAAACATGTGTGGGTACTATAAGATATATATATATATATATATATATATATATATATATATATATATATATATATATATATGTATATATATATATATATATATCTTGCTAAGTCTTTGCATTCCTCTGGGTACCTGGATCTCATGGAATTATAGGCAAAGAAATGGAAATTCCCTCACTGCCCTGAATTGAGGGCACCATAATTAGCTAATCACTAAGAAAAACTGAAACATTGGATTTTCTGACTTCTTGAGTGTTTCCTGATTTGAGGCCACCAGCAGGTTCATTTCTATACTTGTCTTTTGAAGGTCAAATGTGGGTGTGGAGATTATGGAAAACTTCAATGTGATTAGTGTCTCCAAATGCAACAGTAAGTTCTCCTGTGTTTGTGGAGGGTGCTTAGTGCTAGACACACTTACAGGCTTTCCTCTTTCTGTTGGACTTGTTCAGTTTTAGTTTCATCAGAAAAATGCTCATTTATCTTGTCTAATATGAGCCAAGGTATCATGTACTAAGAGAATAAATTATTGGAATCCCTAGGATATCAAATGCCTCTTTAGCAACTGTATCTCTCATCATTGATCTACTCTACACATCAGGTAATAGATAACCTGTCCACCTTCCACAATAACCTACAAACTGTTAAATTCTCTTCTAAGTCTTTACAAGGCCCCCTCCTCCAACACCACCCTTCTCCACACCACCACCCTTACTGCTTCCTGCATCAATTCTAGTCCAATAATCACCATCTACAGGTTTCCTTTCTGCTACCTAGGAGTCATTGTCATTATCTCCTCTTGATTTCTCACCTTTCAAACAACTTCAATATACAAAGTAGAATTTCCACATTTATTTTAACTATTTTCTCTTTAATTTATTTGACTCAAAAAAGCCTAGGAAAAAAAAACCCATCTAAAATTATTTAAGGCAACATCTTTTATGTCTCTGGTAGTGTAGCTAATTGCTAATGTACTTGTCCATCCTAAAATATAAATAGGTACCTTATTGTAGAAATGATATTTTTTACTCCACATATATGGATAAGCCTTTAAATACTAAAGTATTTAAAGTCATTAAATACTAAAGTACTAATACTTTAGTCATTAAAATACTAAAGTATTCCATCTAATGAACAATCAGTGCTCTAAATCTGTCACTTCACTATTGTAGCCACCTCAGACTCTTCATGATCTAAACTAGCAGGTGAAAACCAGGCCCTTCATGGACCCTCAGGACTCTCTCCAGCATACAAACACACTCAAACAGATTAGATGTTTCCAAAGTTGTTAATAATTTTTATAAGATTTTGAATTTAACTCAACGAATCTATAGACTTTTTTAGTGGTTTGTAATACACTGTGACAGAGTGAAAAACTTAAGGAAAAAAGTGAGTTAATTGATACTATGCATTATTTTTAATTTCTGTAGAAAAATGGATGACATTGCTTTCATAGAAAAACTGACAAATACTTAAATTTTAACAGAGGGTCATTTTCTCTCCTGGAAGAAAATGTGCTATTATAATGGACATTAATGATACACATTAAGAAACTCACATTAGATCATTTTTTCTGAAAAAATAGCTATTACTTATGAGGATATTTCTGTAAGGATTTTCTACTATAATCACCATCCTCACCTACCTATTAAGAGGACACTTAGAAAACACAGAAATTTCCTTAGAAATACTGATGAATAATTTGATATTTTAAGAAGGACCATTTCTTGCTGATTTTTGCAGAAGATCCAGTTCCCGTGAAAGAGAAATGCAAGCCTAGAATGACATCCACAATCCCCAGTGGGCATGTCTGGAAAGAAATATGGAACCCTGTCTCCTGTGATTTAGCTCCAATCAAAATGAATGAGTGCCTGAGAGGAAAATTTATACACCTATTGGGAGATTCCACCATCCGCCAATGGATTGAATTCTTCAAAGCCAGTAGCAAAAGTATGATTCAGTCTAAGCTTTTATTCATATTCCCTTCGGAAATTCTCTTCCCTTTCATGTAGGGAAGAAATGTAGAAAATGCCTCATCTTTATCACATTTCTTCATTACAATACACCAAAATTTTTCACAAGATATTTCCTTTACAAGAATACAGGGAATGGAAAAGAGCCAGTGTAGAAAAATGTCCCTGTCCAGAAGAAATTCACACATCAGTATTTATCCAGAAATCATAGAAAATTATCAATGAAGCTAAAGATGGTTTGAGAAATTAAACTGTATACTTTCTATTGTTAGTGTGAAGATTGTGGGTGTAGATTCTAGATCCAGATGTCCTGAGTTCAAAACCTGATTTCAGATCCTTTATGACTGACTTGGACCAGTTACATGAGCATTCCGTCCCTAAGCTTACTCATCTGTCACCTACAGATGAAAAAAAAATACCTACCTGGTAAAATGAAATAACACAGAGGGTGCATTTGGAATATTATCTGTGAGGAATTAAGGTTTTATATAAATTATCATCACTAGTATCATCACCTGATAGTATGACAGATACAAGAGGAAGGTAAAACTTATATTATATTGGCACAGTGTTTAAAAGCATGGGTTTCAGAGTCTAATAGAACTAGACTTAGAAAAAATGACCTTGGGCCTATTATTTATTTTCTCTGCCACATTTTCTCATATATACAATAAACATGGTGCTTGTTTTGAAGGTGAAATCAGGAAATGAATATAAAGAATTGAACACATTGCAAGGCACATTAGTATATAGAAAGCACCCCCCCAAAAAAAAAGTACAGAAATTTCAGTTATCATTAGTTAATGTTAGAGTTGGGTTCAGAATACAGCTGGAAAAATCCTAGTACAGTTGCTATATTTGCAAAACCGAGAGTTCACCAACAATAGCTCAAAATAGATCTTAGCAATCTTACCTAGAAAACTGTCACTACCTGCCTATCTATGTCCCTGGGTGAGGTTCCTACTACTTAGGACTATGCCTTCATGGTGGCTCCATCCTGGTCTTCCAGACATGAAGCCACTAGGATCTCCAACTTAGCAAGAAAGATGATTCTCTTAATAAAAAGGGGAAATCAGTAGGACCTGGATTTCAAGTTTTAAGAATTCCCAGTAGAAGAGAGGAGTTTTCAATCCTGACATCTGAGAAATGACAAAACTCCTTGGGAACTCAGTTTGCTCAGTTATAAAAGCAAAGGTCTAGTGATGACCTTCAGCATCACATTCTACAATGGAGGGTCTCTTAGTTCTACAAAGTACTGCAGTACTGAGTTACCTAACCTCTTTAGCTCATCTTGGATGTTGCAGTTGGAAAACATCTCCTGTATGTTTTGTTTAAAGTTGAACTTTTTGGCCAGAGTCTGCTTTGGAGGAGAAAACTGAAGTAAGTTGGAAGCAGAGTGAAGAAAATCATTCTGCCATTTTCCACCAACCAATCCTCCAGCATGTCTGTTTTCTAGTCACTAGGTTAAGACTTCAAATATATCTCTTTGCTTCTAAGGTAACACATGTGACCAAACATTAATTATCACTTAATACACATTTACCACTGATATTTTTGCCACAAATCAGCTGGCCTTAATATTCAGATAACAATGTAATTGAGATGTTGAAAAATGGTAGGACTTCATCTTTTCTACTCATGCTATATTTATATTCAGGAGTGTCAAGATCAGGTAGGATAGTTTCACAAGACATGGTGGGAACTTCAAGTGAAAAGCTGACTCTTTACAAAATGTATAGTTCTCAGCAGGTTATTTTCTCTCTTTTTTTCCTATTATATGATAATTAAATACATAAATGAGTGATGTTGACATGAGTGATTGCCTCAGTCTAAATGAATGCTTTGTAAACTCAAATGACTTCACAAATAAATAGTAATACTATTATTATTATAGATTATTATTCAAGACAATTGCATGCATATGAAAGGAAACATATGCATGGAATTATATTATAAACTTTTGTTTAGACTTCAAGGAGGGGGATGGGGTGATGGCTCAGTGGTAGAGTGCTCGCCTAGCATGCATGAGGCACTGGATTCAATCCTCGGCACCACATAGAAACAAACTAATGTATCCACCTAAAACTAAAAATACATAAATAAATAAATATTAAAAAAAGAAATAGACTTCAAGGAATTTACAAGAAGTTTGAGAAATAGATTTACTTTTGTTTCTTAATTACATTAGTTAGTATCTTTATCTTCAAATGATTTTAGTCTAGAGCCAACAAGTTGTACAAAAATAATACTTACAAAACTAACAACATTATCCTCCAGTGACATTTTTCCAGTGCCTTACCATCATCCAGTGCCATGGTTTTGCAGGACATACATAATCTATAACATATGTGCAACATTTTTAATTGTTCAAGTAAATTTCAAATGAGTCCCCTCAATCAAACCCATAGTAAATCAGACATGATTAGCTTATTTATATATAATCACCAAATATTTTCTCTTGTATTTATGACTTTGTCAGTCAATCATTTTTAGTGCATTATAGTTATACATAACATTGGGTTTGTTTTAACATAATTATACAAGCATGGAATATAATTCGCTCCAGTTCAGTTGCCAGTACTTCTTCTTTCCTTTTCTTCCCTACCCCTGTTCCCTTTCCTCTATTCTACTGATCTTTTTTCTATTTATTTACAGTTTTATAAATTAGTGTGTTTTAGATCTATAAAGGTGAAATTCACTGTGGTGTACGCTCATAGGATTGTGTGGTAAGATTCATTCCAACATTCTTCCCTTTTCCGGTCCATCCACCTTTTCACTCAATCACTTTCCTCTACTCCACTGACTTCTCTGCTACTTTTATGAGATATTCTCTTCTCTTCTTTTCCCACTTATTTTTGTCTAGCTTTCACAGAGGAGGGAAAACATTTGACCCTTGACTGTCTTAGTCTAGCTTATTTCACTTAGCATAATGTTTTCTATTTATATCCATTCACCATGACTTGTCAATCATATAACTTTATTCTCCTCTCATTTGGGGATTGCTTATTTGTCTTCAGCACTCAAGTCAGTGGATCTGCATGAGCATGGAAAACTGCAACACCAACTAGCTGTGGACTTGGATAGAAATATCAACATCCAGTGGCAAAAACATGCTTATCCCTTGATTGGATCATCTATTTATTCAGTGAAAGAAATTGAGTACATGGCCCGAGTCATTGACAGAACTGGAGGAGAAAAAAATACTGTTGTTGTTATTTCCCTGGGCCAGCATTTCAGACCCTTTCCCATTGATGTTTTCATCCGAAGGGCCCTCAATGTGCACAAAGCTGTTCAGCGACTCCTTCTGAGAAGCCCAGACACCATAGTCATTATCAAGACAGAAAACATCAGGGAGATGCACAATGATGCAGAAAGACTAAGTGACTTTCATGGTTACATTCAAAACCTTGTCATGATGGACATTTTCCAGGATCTCAATGTGAGCATCATTGATGCCTGGGATATCACAATTGCATATGGCACAAATGATGTCCACCCACCACAATATGTAGTTGGAAATCAAATTAATATATTCTTAAACTATATTTGCTAGATAGCACATATCTCTGAAATTCATTTATTTAGGGAAATGATCTATTGAGTGCCTGATAGCATATTGGGTGTCATTTTTGTCTCAGAACTCCAGTTAGCTGAGAAGACAGTCTTCACTGTGGCTGGTATGGATCCACCAGTTCAGCCAAGTAAGCTATTTCTACCATGGAATTTCACTTACAAATAAAACTAAGAGTAGTCATAAAAAGGTCATACCCTCCTCAATCAGAGTTATGCTGCTCTTCACCAATGGGAAGCTAAGACACCTATGGTAAATGCTCTTCTCTCTGGTACATGTGAACTATCAAGTAATTGTAAAATAAACACTTGGAGAAAGAATTTTCATTTCATTATTCCTACCACTATAGAAAGATGTAAGCTGATTTCCAAATGATAAGAGAAGTCTTAACAAGGCAATTCTCCCCCAGCTTTAGGGGAGAAGTATAATTCTAAGCAAGGTCTTTGAATCCTGGAAACCTCTAACTTTTCTCTCCTTATAGGAACTCCCACTGAGAGGTTATAATCAGCATTTAGCATCCAGGAAAATTAGGATATCACAGATGAAAGCACAGTGTGCTGGAATTGAAGGACCTGGGTCTTAGTTCTATTTTGGCCAGTAATTTTAAGACTGAATAATTCATTTCAGTTCTCTAAGCAGCAGTTTCTCAAAATGAGAGGTCAGTCTAAAATTTATGATCTTATAAATTAAGACCTTGCTCTGTGTGATTCTGGGAGAGGAGACAGGAGAGATACCTGGTGGGCTGGGAACAGGTTCTATTGCTCCAGCCCCAGTATCAGCCCCTCTGTCCTACATGTGTATTACACTTCTGGGTGAGCTTCTGCTTTGGACAGAAAAGCTCCACTACTTAAAACATATTTGAAAACCCTTCTGTACATAATCAAAAATGTTGGTTCCTATAATCTACAGAGGAAAGTTAACATTTTAATCACTTTCATTTGCATTTTAATAGGTCTTCCCAAAAAAAGTGACCAAAAAAGAATGACTGATATGAGAATGTCAGTTGAATGGGACAATTTAATTATCACAAAATAATTTGGCAACATATTCTTCCTTAATTTTATACAACAGGGCTCTAACCTACTCTTACTGTATCTGGGGAAAAGTGGATATAATAAGACATCTTATGCCTGTTTATCAAGTTTTCTTTGGGAAGGGGATTAAACATTTTATATTCATTTGCCAGTGAACCACAGTTTTCAGTTTAGTGCCCAGTGTACACTCAGATCTACAGAAATATTTATGGAATCTCTATCAGGTGCCAGATACCATTCTAGCTTTGAACATACAGTGGTCAAGAAGTCATGTGAAATATCTGCAATCAAAGACTTTACATTCTTTTTAAGGGGAAAGATCATAAAACAAAACAACAAAGAAAGATATAATTCTGTAATAACTATTGTGGAATAATTCTAAAATTCTTAGTAAAACAAGATGACAAAGCATTTGGCAGGGTACTGTGATTGGATGCTGTGTGGTGGTGATGGAGGTGACAAGTTAGTTAGGAAAGCATTTTAAGTGGGATCAAAATTATGAACAAAGTGTGGAAACATGAAGTGATAGCCTGTCTTCCTAACAAGGACAGGCTAGTTTTGAGTATGACAAGGTTTCAGGATAAAGTGTTTTCTGAAGAACCAACCAGCAGACATGCCCAGAGCTCCACGGGGAACAAGCACAGAGAATCATTCAGCTAACATCTAGTTGAAGAGAGAGAGAAAATATGTCAAAAATACCTCTTCAGGGAGATCCAACATGGCGGCGGGCAGAGAGGCAGTGCTGTCAATACCCCCCCAGTGATGGGGTCATAAAGACGCATAGATAACGCTTAGATTCTACCAACGGAGAATCTCCTAGCAAAATTCCACTGAAGAGAGACCGGCCGGGAGCTACTAGGATTTTTTGAAGTGACAGTTTGCCCCAGACAAGCGAATCCCTGCAACGAAACTCAGAGGTCCAGATCAGCCAGCCGCAGTCCGCACGCCGTGGCGTGGCTGCTGGCTCGTCCTCCCGCAGCCAACGTGACTGGGTCCCGCTAGCCTCCGAGACGCAGCTTGGCAGGAAGAAGTCTTTAGCCAAGCCTTCATGAAATAGCTAGCCGGGAGCTTCAGACACTCCGGCAAGGAGCCTGGGGCCCTCCATAGCAGAGAGGTGACGTCATCGGAGTTCGGCTGATGGAATACCTTCCCAGCAGAATCCACTTTAGCAGGTGTGTGACTCCCTCCCCATCCAGATACAAGCAGCCAGGAAACTTCAGGGACCTCTCAGGGGTCGTGTCTGTAGGGAAACAGAGGGGATCCCCTACCCCCAACCCCCCATATCACCAGCGGTGACTCCCAAGGTCTTAGCCGCCAGTTTACCACAGCACTGGGGCTTAAATGGGACACGTGGTGGGGCTGCAAGTGTAACTAGATCTCTGGGGAACCGCTTCTGGTGAACAGGACCTGGCTGGCTGGCTGACAGGAGGAAGGGGGAAAGGGCCGGAGAAGTCAAACGGCTCTGGACTGACAAGTCTGAGAGACTCCCAGGAAACACCTTACAGGGATTGCTATCGGCAGGTAGAGGGCAGAAGCTCCGCTCAGAGGGCACAGCTCCACCTACTGGAAGAGAAGAAAGTGGATCTCTAAGACTTCAATATTTTTTTTTCTTCTTCTCTCTCTGTTCCTTTCTCCCCTTTTCCTTCTCTCTTTCTTTCCCGTTTCAAGTTTTATTGTTCTTTTCATTCTCCTCTAATCTATCTATCTCTCTCTCCTTCTTTCTTTTTAAGAGCACCTTCATTCCCCTACCCCCCCAACTTTCATCCCAAGCATTACGTCTTCCATTACGTGTAATTGTCTAAATGCAAATAGGTGAATGTCTAGAGGCTGTCTATAGGGCTCCTAAATACCTAGCTACTACCAACACCCTGATCCAATTGCCTGTTAGTATCCACCTTCAGTAGAGCAATCTTCTAAAGTAGCCAAGACATACTAACCCTCGTACCATCATAGCACCTAACCTAAACAGAGTCCTAAGAACAAACAACAAATCACTATATGCATACAGAACCTGGAAGCCTTTTATGAATTGAATGAATCAGCTTTAAAGCACAATAAAGCCCAACATTTCTAGGCATAATCTCCCACCACAAAGGAGAGACAATAGAGATATACAAAGCCAAAACAAATGTATAGGAGAAAGCAGTTACAAAGCAGTCAAACAGAGCTGGAAAGTAATGTGAACAACATGAAAAAACAAGGGAAAAAAGGATTACAAACAATGCAGGACAACTTAAATCTACAGGAGGACTTAGAAGCATCAGAAACATGGACAGGGAAAGAAATCAAGGCATACCTAACTCAGATGGAACAGAATATTAGAGAAGACAAGAGAAGACATGAGACAGCAAGTCCAAGCAATGAAAGTATATTTTGAAAACGAACTAAACAAACAAATTCAAACTGCAAAGAACGAGCTTTACCAGGAGATAGAGATTTAAAAAAAAAAACAAAAAACAAACAGTAATCCTAGAAATGCAAGAAACCATAAACCAGATTAAAAACTCTAACGAGAATATTACAAATAGACTAGATCAAGTAGAAGTCAGAACATCAGATAATGAAGACAAAGTTTATCAACTTGAAAAGAATACAGTCAACACAGAAAAGATGCTTAAATCTCATGAGCAATCTATTCAAGAGATATGGGATGTCATAAAAAAAAAACAAATTTGAGTCATTGGGATAGAAGAAGGCACAGAGGTTCAAACCAAAGGAATGGACAACTTATTAAATGAAATAATCCTAGAAAACTTCCCAGAGATGAAAGATGGAATGGATTGCCAAATCCTGGAAGCCTACAGGACCCCAAACATCAAAACTGTAATAGACCAACTCCAAGACATATAATTATGAAGATAGCTAACATACAGAACAAGGAGAGAATATTAAAAGCTATGAGAGAAAGGAGGCAGATTACATTCAGGGGTAAACCAATTAGGTTAATGACTGATTTTTCATCACAGACTTTGAAAGCGAGAAGATCTTGGAACAACGTATTTCAAATGCTGAAAAACAATGGATTCCAACCAAGAATACTGTATCCAGCAAAATTAAGCTTCAGATTTGACAATGAAATTAAAATATTTCACGATAAACAAAAGCTAAAAGAATTCACAGCCAGAAAACCAGCACTGCAAAGCATTTTGAGCAAAATACTACAAGAAGAGGAATTGAAAAATAGCGCCCAAAACTAACAGTGGGAGGTATCTCAATAAAGGGGAAGGAAAATAACCAAAGAGGAAAAACTAGCCAAACTAAAATAAATAAATAAATAAACATGACTGGAAGTACAAACCCTATTTCAATTGTAACCTTAAATGTTAATGGCTTAAATTCACCAATCAAGAGACATAGGCTAGTAACCTGGATTAAAAAAACAAATCCAACAATATGCTGCCTTCAGGAGACTCATATGATAGGAAAAGACATACACAGGCTGAAGATGAAAGGTTGGGAAAATCATACCACTCACATGGCCCTCGGAAGCAAGCAGGAGTGGCCATACTCACATCGAATAAAATCAACTTCAAACCTAAGTTAATCAAAAGGGATAAAGAAGGACACTATATACTGTTAAAAGGAACCATCCACCATCAAGACATAACAATTATCAATTTGTATGCACCAAACAATGGTGCTTCAACGTTCATAAAACAAACTCTCCTCAAGTTCAAGAGTCAAATAGACCACAACACAATAATTATGGGGGACTTCAACACACCGCTCTCACCATTGGACAGATCCTCTAGACAAAAGCTGAATAAAGAAACTATAGAACTCAATGACACAATCAATAACCTAGACTTAACCAACATATATAGAATATATCAAACATCATCAAGTGGATACACGTTCTTCTCAGCAGCACATGGATCCTACTCAAAGATAGACCATATATTATGCCATAGGGCAACTCTCAGTAAATATAAAGGTGTGGAGATAATACCATGCACCATATCTGACCATAATGGAATGAAACTGGAAATCAATGATAAAAGAAGGAAGGAAAAATCCTGCATCACCTGGAAAATGAACAATATGTTACTGAATGATCAATGGGTTACAGAAGACATAAAGGAGGAAATCAAAAAATTCTTAGAGATACACGACAATACAGACACAACATAATGGAATCTATGGGACACAATGAAAGCAGTTTTAAGAGGGAAATTCATTTCCTGCAGTTCATTCCTCAAAAAAAGAAAAAAACAAAAAATAAATGAACTTACACTACATCTTAAAACCCTAGAAAAGGAAGAGCAAAACAACAGCAAATGTAGTAG